CCCTGATATTACTCTTGGGGTAAACAAGTCAACAGGCTTCATAATGATCAATCCTTAGCTCTTGGTGGCTGGCCTCCAAGAGTTGCCTTCTGGGATTAAAGTTTAGTTACTCCTGGAGGAGATATGGCGACCACCAGGAGTTCATTGACCAGGCAGAGGTTGGAGGGAAGTAGCGTCTTTCCAAAAGCCCAGAGCCGTCCACTTTAAACCGGGAGAGGTAGAAATGAGGTGTTGCCACTGGGAGGAAGGGCAAAAGCCACGGAGGTAGGGCGGGGTTCCAAGGCCGGGGGAAGGAACCCAGGCCCTCTGGCTGGCGGAGCCCAGGAGCCGCGATCCCGCCCACTCTCCTCTCTGGGCGCCGCCCCGCCCTGGCTAGCCCTGGCAAGTCTCCCCCTCCACCCCTAACCTCTCTCCCCACCGTCCCCCCAGCTCACCTCCCGCTTATTAAACTGCAGGTGAACCCGGAGCACCTGGCCTCACGCCAAACCCGCGAGGTTCCACAGCTCCAAACTCGCCCCCAACCTTCAAAGACCCCAGGTCCTCCCACCCGGCCGCACCGGCCAGACTGAGAGCCCATCAGGACGCCTGGATCCAGGCTAGAGGGAGCCCTAGAGGGGACACTGAGGCCAAGGTGAGGGCTGAAGAGCTAGCCTTGGCTTGCCTCCCGGGATGGTGGCGGGAGGAAGACCCCCGCCCCCGCAACAGCTGCCGGAGCCTCCAGTGTGCAGAAGCTGAAGCAGGAGCTCTGGGAACCCTTCTGAGCCTGAGCGTCTCGGAAATGCTATGGGGAGCACGTGTGACCTAGCAATCCGGGGGTGGCATCGGGTGGCTCCTCGGCGGTGAGCGCCGGCCTGGCCCTGCTGGGACCTGGAAGATGCTGAGGCCTGTCTGCCCCTTGGTGTCACCGAGCGCGGGCGGCAGGGCGGGGATGGCGCGCAGCGGGAATGGGGCCAGCCTGTGGGCCCGGGTTCCCGGGCGGCGCCCCCTGGCCGGCTGGAAGGGACTGATCGGGCTGCGCCCGGCGTGAGAGACCGATGCGAGCGAAGGCCAGGGGGGCGCCCTCTCGGAGAGCCGCACCGATGGGGCCGAGAGCTCTCTGCCGAGGCCCGCGGGGATTAGTTCGCGGCTGCATGCCGCCACACGCGTCGGGCTGGGCTCGGCCGGGGTAGAAACAGCGCCCCCGGCGCGCGGGGGAGGGAGGAGGGAGCGCGCAGGGGCGGGGCGGAGGCCTGGGGCTGAGCTGGGGGAGGCTAGGGTGGCCCCTGACTTGGAGGCCCAAGGGATGCAAGCACAAGTCCTGCTGAAAGGGAAAAGGTCCTGATTAGCTTTCTTCTGAAGCTGAGGTATATAGAAGCCTGGCTCCAAGGCTACATGGTCTATGAGTGTCCCTCCCCCACTACCAACTAGAATCTCTTAAACCTTAAGGACCCAGGGCCACCAGGTCCCCACACTGTCCAACAAGCAGCTGACAGGAGGTGAGATAGGTATCTAGCTAGGTAAATCCAACAGGGAAGGCACCCATCTTGCTTCAGAGACCTGATTCAAAATCCAAGATGAGACTGGGAGGTGGGTGTGATTGGAAACAAGTAACAAAACTACCTGCCATCTCCAGCCCAACCACTGTATGGATTGTTTGGGTAGGCCCTGGGTCACCCAGAAATTGAGGAGAGAGGACAGGGAGTGCTTTGGTTCCTCAGAGCAATGGGGGAACAAGGGTTGACAGGGCTGTCAGCCCTGCTGGGTTGGGAGCCAGGGTTCATAAGCTCACATACACCCAGCGCCCTGATTCAGAGAGGGTTTTGGGGTGGTGAGAATGACACACAGGCTGGTTGTGGACCCTGCCACAGCGGGCAGAACCTCTGTAGAAGAACAGGCCATTTACCTGCCCAGGCTTCCCCACCTACATCAAGTGGCAGAAAGTTCCCACCCTTTTTTTCCCCTATGCTTCCTCTCTGAAAGGCACTCCATTCTTAACTTACAAAGTAAAGGGTAAACGGAGGCAGGAGACAGGGATATTTTCTGGACCCAAAGCATGAGGTGTCTAACAGAGCAGGCTAACACAGGAGTCTAGTTCTCTGGTATGGAACCTGCCTCCCTCAGCCAGAGCCACTTCTGTCCCATGTGTCTGTCCCCACCCCATGATGCTTTTCTGAGACTGAGAAAAGGAAAGCATGAGGGCTGGTAGATGCAGGGATCAGAGGAAATACCAGCTTGAGAATCCAGTAGGGATGGCTGGCAGATTCTGGGGTACAGGTGGGAAGGAAAGGGGGCTGGGGTGAGGGGCAGCTACCTCTGCTGAAGATGGGACTTTCGTAGGGGATTTTGTTTCGAGTCTCCAGGCTAGAGCAGTTCCAGCGCTGGTCCCGGAACTGGTGTTGGCACTCATGGATGGCGATCTGGATGCCCTGGATGGCAGAAGCGGCCACGTCAGGGTGACGCACACACACCTCCATCTGCCGCCTGCTCAGGCCGGGCAATGTCAGGCACACTGTGTTGGCATTGAGCACAGGCTCTGGTACTCGAAGGCCCAGGATGTCATTGGGTGCTGACCTGCAGGCATGTGGGGTGGATAAGCATTTTGTGGGAGATCATGAAGGCTATTTGAAAACACACATTCTGGCCCATAATCACTCTGCCCCAACTCATGGATCTGAAAGTTGGGCCCATTAGTACACTCTTTTCCTCATTCCCTCCAACAGAACCCACCCAGCTGCACACCCATAAAGGTAAATATGTTCAAAGGCTATGCCTGCACTTACAGTATTTTAGTTTATTCCCAGATGCCTCAAATGGTGCCCCAGGAGCCTACCCCAAAAGCCATGTTTCAATCACTGGTGTCTATTCAGACATGCTCTGTACACACCATGGTGGGCACAGAGACCCAGAGCACTTACATACATGCACACTTTGACAGTTATAGACATACACGTGTGCGTACAGACATGCACAGAAGCACATTCACACGTTTTCCTTAACATACATTGACCCATGAGCTCTCATAGTTGCATACATATTCATGCAAACTGCTGTTTGCCTAACCGTTTACTGGAACACACACACACACACACACACACACACACGAGACTTTCAGGTAGTCTCTCTCGCTTACCCCATCTGAAATGGGGAAAACCCCTCCAATCCTTCTGCTCCTCCTGCTCCTGCCTGGGGTAATACTCAAGGTGGAAAGAGGGAGGCAGTTTGAGTTTACTCTTGGAATGGGAGTGCACTGCCCCAAAGTGGCAGGGACTCCTGACTGGCACTTAACTTCCACAAACCCACCTTCCCTCCTAGCTGCCATCACTCCCCTGGGCACTACCCTGTCTCCCTGGACTGCCCATATCCTGTCACCAGTCCAACCTCTTCCTTGGGGGGAGCTCACTGTCTTTGATTGGGCACCAGCACTTTCTCTGTGACTCTGTCCCCACTCATTACAGGGTCCCTTCCCCAGCAAGAACACTGGATGCCCGGCCCGAGGGTCCTAGCTCTCCAAGAGGGCGGAGCGTGAGGGCTCACCTGGGCACAGCGGCAGCCAGCAGCAGTAGAAAGAACAGGAGCGCCCAGAGCTCAGGCCGCGGCTGGGGCCGGGGTGGGAGCCGCAGCCAGGGGCGAGGGTAGGCGCTGCCCATGGCGCGCGGGCCGTGACAGGCCGGGAGTGGGGGGCTCACAGCCCGGTGGGACTGACGAGCCAGGGTCGCGGGCGCATGATCAGCAAGGGTCGGGACGGCTGCGACACACAGCTCCGACTCAGGTCACGGCTCCCGCAGCAGACGGCGCCCGCCTCCCCGCTCCATGGGGCAGCGCCCCCGGGCACCGCCCTCGGGGGGGTGGATGGGGAGCGGGCGAACCGGGCACCTCCTGGCACAGGGGTCCAGGGAATTTCCCGAGGCCCCCTTGCGACAACTCCTGGTGCCTCTCGAGGGCGAAGGGGGGCCCGGAGGTGCAGCGGGCTGGGGACTCGAGACTGGGGTGCCGAGGAGCCCCCCCACCCCAGTGCAGTGCCGCGAGCCTGCGCTTCAGAGGGTGTGCGAGGCGGGCGCGGTGGGGGCGGCGCTGTCTGGCCCAGCCCCACAGCCAGGAGAGTGAGTGACTGTCCCAGCTCGGGTAGCTCTGCCCCCCCCCAGTAGAGTCTTAGGGCTCTACCCCATGTGACGTCATGACTGGGGGGGGTGAGGCGTGCACGCGTCCGGAGGCCACTGTGTCGGCTCAGGACTTGGGATGGGAGCGCGCGTGCAGAGAGAGGGCTGAGGAAGGAGAGGTGCTGGGGTCTGAGCGTCCTGCACCGGGAGATGAAGGCGTGTGCTACCCCGAGGTGTGTGTGCCCGGCTGAAGCCAAGATGCAGCTGCTGAGGAGCGTCCCCACCCAACTCACACACCTGCGGGCCTGGAGGGGAGAGGCTGGCCCCTCCGTTTCACCCTCTCTACTTTAAGAGGGATTTCCCCCAGCCTGCCCTGATAGGCAGACGTGGGGTCCTGGGAAGGGGTTTGGCAGCCTCTGACTTTTTCTCTCCTTTGCCGTGTGGTTTTCCAACACGTGTTCCTGGAGTCACCCTGTGCCCCTTTATGAAATGAGTAACGAGGCCCACTTCATCTAGTGAGTGAGCCACCCAAGGCAAAAGAGTGAGGCAGATTCTGGTAAATGCTTGGGAGCCAAGCATTTTGCGATGGTTCTTGTCGGGGGGAGGGATTAGAAAACATTTTAATCCAGAAGTAGGTGGTCAGGACATTTTACTCAGCCCTCTTTTTATTTCACCAGAAAATATTGAAGCCCAGAGAGAGTCATGACTTACTTAAGGTCAAACAGCAAATAGGCAGAAGAGCTGGAATTGAATTCAGTTCTCCTGACTCCCACCCAGCCCTTCACTGAGAGTTGTTCCCTTAGACCCAGGGATGCTTTGAGATTTGCTCTGTCTGCAAGCAGTCCTCCAGGGTCTCTTCCCTCTTTCTCACCTCTAACTGAACACTGATCCCCTCCTTAGTATGAGATAAGTGTGTGTTCTTGGGCAAAGGCCTGAGAACCAGAGGATGAGGAAAAAGAGGCTCTGGCTTCTGATTCTGACTCTAACCTGGGTCTTGACAATGAGTTGGGGTCCTGCTGTGGTCTCAGCATCTTCCTCTATGAAATGGGCACAAGTCTTCCACTCTACAGGCCCACATCCCTCATGTCCCATGGCCTCCTCTCTCTGAAGAGAGCCCCTCCTGGTTTAGGAACAGAACTGTCAGAGCCTCTGGGCTAAGAGACAAAAGGGGCCCATTCCAGGAACTTCCCATCCTTGGAGAATTGGAGGGGAGGTGACTTCCTTGCCCCTAGACGGTCAGGTGGTGGTTGGGGAGGGGGTGGCCTGAGCTGCAGCAGGCGGAGGACATACTCCCCTTCTTCCCCCACCCCATCTCTGCCAGCAGCCACTGCAGCTGTCAGGAATTAAGGGCTTGAGGCTGCTGGGGGTGGGGGTGGGGCAATGGGGAAGCAGTCTGGCTGGACTGCAGGAAAACAGCCAGGGGCAGGAAGCAGCCTGCGTCACCAGAACCTTATTTGACCCTAGCCACCCCCTGCCCTCCCTATTCTCTCCCGTACCATGGTACCATGCTGCAGGGACAGGGGCAGTTTAGGATTACAGTAGGATCAGACTCAACACAGTAAGGATGGACAAGTCTGGCATGGGCTTCAGAAGGCTGGGGAGTCAAGCTCCTGTTGGCTGTTGGGGAAACTGAGGCCCAGAATGGATTAGGAACAGACCCCACCCAACCCAGGCAATAAGGTCATATTCAGGGTACAAACCTCCTTGCTCTCTATTCAGTGCTCACCTAAATGTCTCCCACACTTGCTGTAGTTATGTATCCCCTGGTGTATTCGAGAGTACAGATTCCAGGTCCCAAGCCTGAATCAGCTTTTCCAGGCACAAAGCCTGAGAGTCTGAATTTCTAACCATCTCCCAAGTGTTTGGGGAGACTACCTTTGGCAAATGCTGTTACGGGGCAGAAGAGCTGATAATTTCTCCTTTTGGTGTCCCTCTGAGAAGGGAGAGGGAGAGGAAGTGTCTATTTGCTTCTCAACTCACACTTTTAAGAAATATGAAGTGTGAAGCAGAAAGAAAAACTTTTCTTTGAAAACTCTAAGGGGTAAATACTGATGCCCATGGTCTGTGCCCCCATCCTGGATCTGGCCTGATGCCATGAGGCCTGAGAATTCATTCTTAGGAATTCATTCTTTCCCTGCCCAAGTGTTTAAGCACCAGGCTGTGACTTGTGTGTAGATGAGGTCCAAAGAGAGTATGCACTTGAGGCCCTAACCTGGATGACCCATACCATGGCCAAGTCCCTATCAGCACCAGCAGCACCCAGTCTCCACCACAGCCCCACCCTGAGCCTTGGCCCTCAGCCTAGCCCCAGCCCCCGCAGCAGCCTGCCTGAGACCACAATTACAGGGGCCACTGGGGATGGGGGTGGGGAGCTAGGAGGATGAAAGGCAGCTTGGAGAATGGTTCCAGCTGTGGCAGCTCTGGGGGAGGTCTCAGGGAAGGAGGTCTGGAGGAGGCACAGGGTGAGAACAGGTGGGACCCTCACAACTCCAGCCTAGCCCAATCTAACCTCGCTCCATCCTGATGCTCAGCTGGAGAAGTTGGTCTTGGTGAAGAAGAGTGAGAAGAAGCTCTAGATGGATAAGGGGGCCTCTGTCCTGTTGTCTGGGCCTCAGCAAGGTAAGGAGAGATAGCTTGCTGCTTCAATGTGAATCCCTAGATTCCTAATGTATAGCCATTAAAGGGAAAGGGAGATGGGTTCTTGAGCCCTTGGCCTCAGGCTATCCTAGACTTTCCTCCCAGTCTCCTAATCCATCTGCCTACATTCCGCCTTTTCCTGGTGTGGTCACGCACACATCTGGGGTGCCTCTGTGTTCTTCCCCTTTGACCAAGTTCCATATGTCTCCTACCCCTCAGCCAGCAGGGGACCTTGCCTGTGCCTGGGGCTGAGCATCTGGATGAGCAGGGGGGGGGGGCAGGTCAGAGGAGTACTTCTGAGCTCTGTCTCCCAACCCCTTCCCATTCAGCAGTGCAAGACTGCAGAGCCATCTCTGGGCTTAAAGAGGACTAGGCTTATGGTCCCCAACAATGCCTCTTGGTCAGTCACTGGTACCCTTTAAATTAGGGAGTTTCCAGATCCCTGTGGGACTTGATTGCAGAAGATGGATCACTTCTATGTGACCAGCAACCCCAAGACTGCAATATATTCTCAGGCAGTTCTATTTTGTGATGGGGACACTGAAGCTCAGACAGGTTAATGGATTTGACCAAGGCCTTTTTGCTATGCCATACCACTGTCTTTCAATATGTTTGGGGTGGTGTTGGTTCATACCACTACCCCAGCTTGCTTTAGTGGCATCGTGGAGGAAAATGTCCAACATCACCCATCCCATCTCAGCACTCCCTACCAGGTCCAAGCAGTCCTAGGGACCAGGAGATGGATGTCACAGCCCTAGGCCTGGGTAGCCTAGAAGTCCTAGATAGCCTGGAACTCTATCAGCTTGACCACAGCTTTCCATGGGTCTCTCTGGTTCTTTTCAGTTCTACCCACTGGTACCCTGTAGTCTTGAATTCTTTAGCAGTCCTGCTCCTGTGGCTCTGTTATTAGAGAAGTTGGACTTTGCACGCCCTCTGGTGGTCTAAAATAGAAGTACAGGAGATTGGGCTGGGCTGGAATGATAGAGCACTTGTAGAGCCTGCACAAGGCCTTGGGTTCTATAGTCAGCACTGGAGAAGGGAGAGGAGGGGATTGGAGAGGGGGAGAAAAGGGAAGGGCAAAGGAAAGGGAGAGGGGAAGGGGATGAAGGGGAGGAAGAAAGGAAGGAGAGAAATCAGCAGCAGCTCCCAGACGCCTGTGGAAGGCAGAGCTGTGACTATAAACCTTGCTCTCAGAGCTTCACTCTGTATTGTGTGGCCAGTTTTATTCTTTCTTTTGAAAGGCTAGAGTCAGCTTTCACCAGGAGGTTCTAAGTCCAAATTCCCCATGACCTTGCTCTGAAGTCCAGGCATTAGATCCAAGGGAGCCAAGAGGAAACAGGAAGGAAACCACAGATGCCCCTCCCTTCCATCACAGTCAGACACCCCTGCCCACTGTGATGCAGCCCAGCTAGACCATCCAGTGGATGCAGGGGAACCATGGAGGTAAGTGGATTGGACTGGAAGCCACCATTAGGGGTCCTCCCTAGCTCAGGTCCCCTTCCTCTGTTCCATTTGAAGAACTCTGTGCCCCTATTCCCTGTTGTCTTAAGAGGTTGATGCCAAGCTTAGTCTTAGAAAGTAGTACATCTCATTGGACAGTGTTACTGGTTGAGGGATGGGCAAATGACCAGGCTGAGCCAGTCAAAAATCTCCCTTGGGACTATTGTTCAGCATAACTAAGGAGGCCTTTTTGAAAAATCATCAATTCTAAGCATATATACAAAAAAAAAAGGTACTAGAAGAGAAAATGGGGTGACAGGCAAAGAGAAATAGAGTAAGCAGAATCAATAGATGTAGGGGTAGAGAGCAGAGAAGGAGAGAGAGAGAGAGAGAGAGAGAGAGAGAGAGAGAGAGAGAGAGAGAATTTGAACCCCCTGGGTTCAACTGCAGCTAAATTCCTTAATTCCCTTTGTCATGGTCTGAAGTTGGATGTCTCTATTTGTGATCAGAGCTGCCCAATACCTGCGAAACAACAGACAGCTCTCGATCCCCACTCTCACAATAACTACCTTTATTAAACACAAATTTGACGTAAATTATATGTCAAATTCTGTGCTAAGTGCTTTTCATATCTCAAGAAAGGAATCCTCCCAACATTTCTCTGAGGGTGTGGGATGGGTCAAGATGGCTGCAAATTCTTTGCCAATCCTCCCACTGAGAGGCAGAGTCTATTTCCTCTCTGTGAATTTTGGCTGACTCACCCAATAGAGAGTGATGGCGATGCTATGGAACTTCCGAGGCTAGACTTTAAGAACACAGGTCTACCTTTAGGCTTGGCACACTCTCTTTAGAAAGACAAGACAGTTTGCTTCCTGCAGGTCACCATGCTGGAAGGAAGTCCAAACTACTTGGAGTACACTGGAGAAGTTCTGAGGCTGTAGGCATGGAAATGAAGCCTCATGAACTTTCTGGCCCAGAAACAGAACCACCCAGCTGGATTCTGACACATTTCTGACCAAAAACAGAATCCTAAGAAGTAGTTACTTTAGGGGTGTTTGTTATGTAGCAATGGATTATTGAAATAGAGTGATACCCCAATAGGTACAGAAACAGCCCACACTGATCAGGTTCAAACCAGATCATCTGAATCCAAAGCTCATGCCTTTCCCTGTGTGCCTGGAGGGGGAGAGTTGGGGGGCTCTGAATTCCCACAGTTGGGCTGTGTACCCCCATTCTCTTGGATTGAAGATGGGAGTGCTAGCTTCGGCTCTAGAGAACCCAGAACTATCCCTGTGTCCCTTTGATAGCTTCCTGAGAGAGCCAACTGGAAGGTTATGTGGTTGATTGTCAAGCAAGATCCTGAGACAACCTTGTTTCCTCTATGTGATTGGAAATGCTATTCTGGTCAGTCTATGTGGGGTGTGTGTGCATGCACACACACAGGCATGTGGAGGCCAGCTGACAACCTTGGTTATCATTCCTCAGAAGCCATCCACTTTCTAAATTATTACATTTATTTATTTACTTATTTATGTGCACATGTATTCCACAGCACACCTCCTGTGGAGGTCAGAGAACAACTTGTAGGAGTCTGTTCTCTCCCTCCATCAAATGGATCCTGGGGATAGAACTCAGGTCCTCAATCTCAGTGGCAGCAAACGCTTTTATCCACTGAGCCATCCTGACCACACACACACACACACACACACACACACACACACACACACACCTCCTTTTTTGGGACAAGTTCTCTCACTCACCTGGAATTCACCAAGTAGTCTAGGCTGACTGGCCACCTAGCCCCAGGGATCTTCCTGTCTCTTATCTCCCCAGTGCTGGAATTACAAGTGCACCTCTGTGTTGGGCTTTTTTAGCATAGATTCTGGGGATGGAACTCAGGTCCAATCCTCCTGCTTTGCAAAGCAAGCACTTCACTGGACCCAGTGATCTCCTGGCTCAGGACAGTCTTTTCAGAGTATGTGGGGTGGTTAGTTTTGATGGCAACAAAAGCCAGAGCTCCTAATAAGTAGATTTTCCATATTTTATAATTTATAGAAAGCTTTAACCTCATGACCCCTAAAGTCTACCCTTGATTTCCTCAGAAGTCACAGAAACAGATGCAATAACCCTAAAAATTAAAATAAAACTGGCCTGACAGCTGAGCACATTACCAGGATGTTCTGAACTCCTCTTGGCCCCTTTAAAAAGGAATCACTAGTTCTCTAGAACAGGGCACTTGATGTGGGACAAGAGTAGACAAAGAGTGCCAAGGGAGAGATGCAAGGTTTCCAGGAGAATCTCCTCCTCATCTAGGTAGTGGGAGGGGAAGATGGATCCAGGATGATAAGCGTTGAAAGGCTAGTTCTATAAGAACCACCTCCCATTTCACACCCCTTCACACCAGATCCTGGCCCTCTAACAGGAGCCAGAGATTCCCTCTCAAACCTCAAGTGTGTTCCTATTGGTTTAAATATCTTTATTAATACTAAACTCACCTACCCATCCCATGGCCAGCAATTCTGAGGAGTCCCATCTCCAGAGATTAGAGTCTGGCTTTTTGGTTTTCATCTAGGGGATCAAGGGGAGGGAGATTTTGCGTAGCAGTCTCCTTCTAGGAGACACCAGGGGATCCCAGAGCCTTCGTGGGCAGATGTAAACTCCAAATTCCAGGTCCCACTGTTTCTCAAGGCCAGGGAGGTGGGTTTTCCCAGGGAGCAGCTGGGTCCAGGGAGCGCCCTCTGCTGGAATCTAGTGGTCCTGCATATGCTAAGAGTTGGCTGTGTGCACTTTGGAGAGACTGGCTGCTGGTCAGAGGCACAGACTGAGCTCCTTGCGCACCCGGCAGCGGTGGCACTGCACCACACAGCACCAGTGGAAGCGGCACAGGCAATTCTCCTCGAGCTGTACGCTCTCCTGGCGGTGTCCACGACCGCAGCACAACAGGTCGCAGCCGCTGAGGTCCGGGGCACTGCTGTTGCAGGCTCGGCCACGGGTGCCAGGAGAGCCGGTGCGCCTATTAGGGGCGCAGAAGTCCGGCGAGTCAGCGGCATAAAGGAGATCAGCTCGGCCCGGCGGCTTGAGCGTGCGGACCGCGGGCAGCAGGGCTTTGCCGTCGTTAGTGCCCATGACACGCGAGGCGCCGTGGAAGCGCTCCAGCAGCCGCGCCCCCACCTCTCGGAACGGGGGCAGCTTCTGCCAGCAGGTGCGCAGCGCGCACGAACCCGAAAGCCCATGGCACTTGCATTCTGTGCGTGTGTGGCTCCGCACCGCCTACGGGGAGCAGAAAAACAGGACGATGGGCAGAACGGGAAAGGCGGAGGATAACTGAAAGCAAAGAAAGAGAAAGAGGGAGGGAGGGAGGGGGGAGGGAGGTACTAGTTTCAAAGGAGGAAATCAAGGTAGCCTTGGCTCGGAGAGGAGGAGGAATGACAGGGATGGAGGAGTAAGAGAAATGGGAAATAGGAGATAGAAGATTGAGCACAGATTCCAGGGTCCAAAGCCAAGGAAGAGAGAAGAACAGGATGGACGCAGAGGTGAGAATCTCCCCCAGAGTGGGGAGCAGTGGCAGCTGTCGCAACCTAACCCTCCTGCCAACCCAGCCTCCTCATTCCTGACCCTCGTGGCCCCAGGCAGAGCTGAGCAGACAAAGCCAGCCGCCTGAGCTGCTGTCTAGTTCACCTCTCCCAGCCCTCTCAACAGGCAGGTGGGCCTGTCTGGACATTCCTCTCCAGGCCCCCTCCTCTCTGCCTGCCTGATGCCTTAGGCTGGACCCTAAAAGACACAGAAAGTGTGGAAGGATGTCCCTAGAATACGCTAGAACTGAGGCATAGGATGTAGGAGAGTCCCCCTGAATGCAATGCCAAGAACAGAAGCCAGGAGACTCCCCCACTGGCTTGCTGTTTGTGTCTGAAGCTGGGGCCCAGCATTCATAACCCCATTTAGACTATCTAGGAAGACCAGTGGAAACTCAGAGGCCAGAGACCAACCTGACCTATATGTTTGTGTGTTCATCCCTCACTCCCTGACTCTCCCCTACCCCTTTCTAGAACCATTAGACCCAGGCAAGCTTCTTGCTCCTGAATGAACTTCTTGATGGGGCAGGTGAGACCAGGCTTGCAGCTGCTAGACAGCCAGCTGGCAAGTGCAGATAATCTGAGCTGACCAGGCCTCCCTCCTACCAGACTCCAGATTCTTCAATCCTTTCCAAGGCAGCTCCCCTAGGATCAGCTCTAGTCCTCACTTTCCCTGGTACCCCTGCTACTGAAGACTTTTGCATGGCTTCTACTCTTCCATCCCCAGTCTCTGTCTCAGTCCCCTGTTTCAGCCCCAACACCCACCCACTCTGCCCATTGTACTTCCCAGCACCAGGCCCTCCCAACCCTCTAGACTGAATATCTCACCTGCCACATTTATCTACACCCCTTCCTAATCTTCCCAAATTTCCCCTGTCCTGCCCAGTGCCACATACATCAACCCCCTCCTACACATGCACTCCTTTACCAGTGCTCACAAACATGCTGCCACGCATTCCATGCTCTCCCACACCCACTCACACTCGCCTACACTAGTGACACCTACACCTCCAGCCCATACGCACCAGCCTGCCTGCCTCATTGTTGTGCAATTGCACCAACGCACGGATGTCTCCGCGTCCGCGCTTGTGCTGCGCATCCATAAAGAGCCTTGATTTCTCGTCCCCGAAGTCCACGTCGTCGCCGCAGCCTCCCCATTCCCAAGCAGCGCTGGCGTCTGGGGAGCCTGCTGGGCCTGGGGGTCCTGGGGTGCCCAGCAGACCGGAGGGCCTAGGGGGTGCCCGCCCGCGTGGTGCTTGGCAACCGCACTGCAGAAGCTCGCCCATGGAACAGGCCTGCGTGACAGCGTGGCTGGCGCCAGCTGCAGTGATTGCAAACACGAAGGCTGTCTCTCTGATGTCTGCAGAGGGAAGGAAGGGCGGTAAGTGCCCGGGTCCAGAACTAGGGGCTGGGGGTTGGGGGCTGGGACCTGGGACCAGGGACCCGGGACCTCGGACCTGTGATGGGCGGGACAGGAGAGGGACGCCTTGCCAATAGGAGAAAGCACCTCCCTGGGGGGCGGGGGGACGGTTCTCCCCACACTGACCCTGCTGCAGGATGCGCCCAAAGGCCTTGCTGTGGCTGGAGCAGTTCCAGCGACGAAAGCGGAACTGGAACTGGCATTCTCGCACCCCGAGCCGCGCTCCCCGGGCTAGCTCTGCCACCACTTCCGGCTCTGCCTGGCACAACTCAGCCTGCCGTCCTGCCAGCCTCCGGGCCTTTCTGCAGATACTGGTAGGGTCCATGACTAAGGGGCTGCCCACGGCCCTGGGAAACAGAACACTGGGTCAGGAGTGTACCTCACAAAACACAAAAGGATGGGTGGGGTGGGAGTGAAAAAGAGGCAGACCAGACCCCCTTGGCCTTAGCCAGGTACTGCACATCTCCCTAGTCTACCGCAACTGAGCTGAGATTGTCCTGTCTTTGGTTGGTTCTCTTGCCATTCCATGTCTGTCTGTGTCCCCTCTTAACTAGAGCCTAGACTGAAAATTGTTCTAGAACAAGAATTTAGTCTTATCCTTTTGGGCACATCTTTATTAATAAATCCTTATAGGAACCTGACTCAAGGTGAAGGCAGTTGGCACCAGGGAGGCCAAACTTAAATTTAAAATTCAATAGTCCTAGCCCAAAAAGGAGACAGGAAGAAATTAGCAGAAAAAAAGATCAAGAAGGCTAAAAAAAAAAACCTTTAGTTCCAGCACTCAGGAGGCAGAGGCTGGCAGATCTCTGTGACTTCAAGGCAGCCTGGTCTCCATAGTGAATCCAGGACAGCTGGAGCTACAGGGAGACCCTGTCTCAAGAAAAAAAAAAAAAAAAAAAAAAAGCACCTGTCATGAAGGGTCACTAAAGAAGAGCTGGCAGTACCAGGGAAAGGTCTGGCCTTAGTGGACCACAAGCCCTAATGCAAAACAGGGGTCATCCCAGGAACACAAATAGCTGTGAGGTGTTCAAATAGCTAGAGAATGGTGCCTTGGAAGAAAGTCACACCCCATCTCTTTAGTTCAACTTTCTCTTTCTGTAAAATGGGAAAATTGAGCTTATGTGGTCCCCCATGCCCCCCCATTTCCCTAAACTGGACAGCAGGAGGAACTGAGCTTCTCAGCACTGTTGGCAACTAGATGACACTGATCCTTCTGCTCCAGGATGCCTGACTTACCCAGAGCGGAATGGCAACAAGCCAAACTCTGTGCACTAGGGTGATACAACCAATTGAAGGATGGAGGAGGGGGAATGTTTGGTTTGGTGGGTAAAGACCTCTTGGGAAGTTCTGCACACTAGCAGAAGCCTTTCCTCCCTGTCTGCCTGCCTTCATTCCACTTGAGAAGAGAGCTGCCACTTGGTTTCCATAGGTTGTCAGCCAGGAATTCACACCTGGGGGAAAACCACTTGAATCAGATGGCTCCTATTTGAACATAGCTGAGATCTCAGGCTTGAAGGACTATGTGGGCAGAGCTAGGGAGGTTAATTTGAGACAACTCTTCAGCAGAGGGCAGGGAAAGATTAGGGGGAGCACTGGAGGCAGAGGGGGGCAGTAAAATGTAGAAGAAAATGTTGGCAGATGGGTGTGAAAGGTCAAGGTGGCCTACCTTTCAGTTTTGCTTCTATGCATATCTGTTTCACTGTCCCCATTTGCTCTACAAGTACAGGCTGCCCAGGCATGTCCTGAGATGTAATGGTCTTAAATAGCAGCAAGAGGAATTTAGGTCTTAAGGTAAAACTCTCAACACTGAAGGTGAGGTGCTCAGAAAGGTGTTTACAGAAAGATATGGAAGCTCCATCTTTTAAAGACTCCTAGCACGCACATGTGTATACACACAGGAGAGAGAATCAGAGAGACACAAAGAGACATAGAGAAACACAGAGACACTGAGAGAGAGACATAGAGAAACAAAGAGGGGAGAGAGAGAGAGAGAGAGAGAGAGAGAGAGAGAGAGAGAGAGAGAGATTCAGAATCAGGTTGCTGTCATCCTGATTCAAATCATCCTGACACAAATGGTTCAGGAACCAAGCATCTCTTGCCAGCAGAGAGCACAGTAGATGTTGTTCCCTTACACTGAGCTTGAAACCTTCCCACCATCAGCCCCAACCCTCTCTCAGCCCAAGAGAGGGGAAAGATGGAGTAATGAGCAGTGGACCAAGGCTAGAACAGCCCAATGGCTCCCAATAGCCCAATAACCTTGGGGAGTTGATATCTATCTATCTATCTATCTATCTATCTATCTATCTATCTATCATCTATCTATCATCTATCTATAATCTACCTATCCCCCTCTGTCTACTTATTCTACCTCATTAGTATAAGCATTTGAGTGGTTTCCAGTATCATTGTTCAAGATAGGTAGCTAGGTAGATAAGATAGATTACAAGCTCCTTCAGTGTTGAGACAATCTTCCTTTATCTCCCCTGGAAGTTTTTTAAGTATCAAATTTATGTCTCCCATACACAATGTCTACTCTGAAACTTTGCATATCATGAATTCTATATAAGATGAATAACATATATGGTATAGAATATTACAATGAAATACTTAAATACATGTTTCTGAATGAATAAGCCATCTCCATAGGGAGAGGATTGCCCGTGGAGCCCAGGTTCTGTTGACATGCTATCATTTCATGACTCCCAATTCATATCCTCGAACATTTTCTTCCTCCCCTGGGATGAGATAAACAGGCCTCTCTGCAGCTGTCCAGCTCCCCTGCTACCACCTGCACATTTTGACTTCTCCTGACTGTCTGGGGTTCTGAAAATCATCTCCCCCATTGCCATGGCCCCTACAGCTAAGTTCCTCAGCCCCACCCCCATCCCACCCCTGCCCTCTGCACACTCCCTGCTTTCCCAAGGTTGACTTCACTTATCTTTCCAAGGTCATTCTGCTCCATCCCTCTCCTCTCCCTCCTCTTCCCCTAGAAAAGCAGGAAGGAATGGGGGACAAGCAAGGAAGAAAGGCAAAAACCTCTTGACCTTGTCTACTTCCCAGGGGTTAAAGATAGGGGAGGAATTGTGGGGATATAAAGGGCAGGGTTCCCAGGAGGTAGGGCTAGCCCTTCACAGAGTTGAGGGGCTGGCTAGCTTCCTGGGAACTAGCCTTGTTTACCAGCTGGTCAGGAGGAGGGATGGTCAGTGATAACAGCTAGAATCCCAAGGGACCAGCTTGCTCCTGCCCCTCCTGTACTCACTCCCATCCTAAAAACATAGAAAATGAAACTCCTGAAAAGACATGGCAGCCGGACATTGAGCAAACCGCCTGGCCACACATTTGACTCTGGTTTTTGTCAGCTCTGGGTGGGCTGAACCACTCCAGACAAGTCAGTTTCCTCTCTAGACATCAGAAAAAGGATGAATTGATGGGAGAAGTGCCCCACTCCCAACTGAAACATGTAACTTCACTTGTAGAACCAACTCCCCAGTCCTCCCTTAATCCCTTTCTCTTACTTTCATTCAGCCACTTCTGCTTCCTTACATAATAAGCTTTACTTTGGAGGCTCTGAATCAGCACTGACCTGGGGTCAACCCAGAAAAGATGGATGCATTTTAGGGAAATTTAGATGCTTTAGACCCTGGAGTGCAAGGTGGGGTGGGGGTGGGGTATGTGTTATATACAATCTGGGATCTAATTAAGTTGCCACTTTTAGGCATAAAAAAAAAAATAGCTAGCCCTAAAAGAAATTAGTATACAGGCAAGATGGGACAAGCCTAACAGGCTACTCTAACTGGCCTGGCCTGGACTGAGAGCACTCTATCTCTTAAGGACTATCAGTAACCCCTCAAAATGGTATTAGGGTCCAGCAAGTTCCTACTGGCAATATCTGCAGACCTGAGCCCCAGAGACCCCAAGATTCTAGCCTAATCTATCCTTCTTTCTCTGGATTCAGAGCTCAGAAGAGAATGTCAAAGATCATCTAATCCATCTCATCTGTCACATGGGTAGTTAAGAGTGTGTACTGTTCTTGCAGAGGACCTGAGGTCAGTTCTGAGCACCGTAGCAAGCAGGTCACAACAACCTGTAACTCCAGCTCCAGGGGATCCAATGCCTCTAGCCTCCTTGGGTGTATGTACTTATGTGCAGAAGCAAGCAGATCTCTGTGAGATCAAGGCCAACCTGGTCTACATAACAAGTTTCAGGCCAGCTGGGGCTACAAGGAAACTTTGTCTCAAAACAACAGCAACAACAATAAATAAATAAAAATTTTTTTTAAATTAGATGATTTTAAAACCTAAGCAGGAGCTGGCCTGGTGGCACAGATCAGTAATTCCAGCTACAGCTGAGGCAGGCAGGAGGATCACAATCTCATGATTGTGAAATCTCATGATACAGTTCAGTAGTAGAATGCTTTCCTAGCATACTTGAGGCTGTCAGTTCAATCTCTAGTACTGCAAAAATAAAATAAGAGTGTCTGGAGAGATGGCTCAGCAGTTAAGAGCACTAACTGTTCTTGCAGAAGATGCAGGTTTGGTTCCCAGTTGCTATATGGCTGCTAATAACCAGCCATAATTCCAGTTCCAGAGGATCCAATGCCCTCTTCTGGCCTCCACGGGCATTGCATGTATTTGGTGCACTTACATTCATGCAGGCAAAACACTTATACACATAAAATAAAAATAAATAAAATTTTACAGTTAAATAGGACTGGAGGGAAATGGCTGCTTGAGATATGGGAAGGCCTCAGATGGCCTCTCACAGTGTATTCCACACAGCCCCTTCTTGCTAACAGGGCTCTGACTCCACCCACACCATATCAGTTCGACTACTCCCTCTGCAACCCTAAGGTGTTCTTAGCCAGTATCTCTCCAGCCTCACCTCAGTTCCCACTGAACCTCAGGAGCCCCAGTCCTGGCCCCAGCTGCATTCTCCCAGGTGTCACTCCTTTGGGCGTGTCCTGTCAGTTTTTTCTCCTCAATTAGGCAGAAACTTCATTAAAGACATGAATCTCACAAGAAGGCATGATGTCATCAGTGGCGCATACTCCAGGCTTTGGGGATCCCCAGGCTTGGACTGGATCTAGGATCTGTCATTTGCTGGTGTGATGTTGAATGAGTCTCTGGCATGTGAATCCACACTTAGTGTTTGTTGGATGAATGATGAAAGTTAAACTCCATTTCCTCAACTGGAAAATGGAAATCATAATACCTTCTCCTCGCCCCTTTCCTGGTTATGTTTATACATGCCAGTGTCCAGAGGGTGGAGGATCTCCACAAGTGCTTCCCCACTCTCCCACCTTTCTGCTCTTAGGCCAGCTCCTGATGCAGGACAAATAGTAGGATGTAGATGCTTTGTGTGGAGTCCAAGAATGCTCTTTTCTCCAACTCTCTGTCTTCCCTTTCCAGCCTGGATCCAGGTTTTGTCCTCCATGCAGCCTACTCAGGGACCAGAAGCACCCTCCAAGACCCATCCTCTTCCCCAGCAGGCACTTCTGTTGGATCAATGAAGCCAAAGGGACCCTCCCAAACCACATGAATGCCAGCCTCTTCAGAAATGTCTTATAGCCCACCTCCCTCTATTTCCCCACCCCCACCCCAAGGTCCCTCAACTGACCCCACCTCCCAGAGCCAGCAGAGGGAGCTCAGAGCCCTGGGGCTGTGGGTGGGGGTGTACGGGGGTGGGGGAGGTGGGTGGTGGAGAAGGGGCAGAAAAATGTTGCCTGACTGCTGCTCAGGCTGCCGGGCCTGTGCCCGCCCGCCTGTCCTGTCCTGCTCTGTCTAACTCCTAACTAGGTAATTACTGCTCCCCTCCCCCAGTCCCTACCCCCACCCTAACCACCACATCAAAGCCAGTGATGCCCCAGCTCCATTAACCCCTGCCTTCCCACTGCCCACCTGTGGCCCCCACCCTCCTTCCCCACACAGACCCAATTTGGTTCCCTCTGTCCTTCCTCACATTTCTCTCCTAATCACTCAAGACAACTTTCTCTTCCCTGACAGACTTCACTGAACTAAAGGGCTTACCACTGGCCAGGCCTTTGGGAGTGAAGCAATGGGCAGACTGCCCTCCACTGGATGCCTAGTGGGCTGTTGTACCTTCTGCTCTTCCACACAGAGTGGACTTCACCCATCTGAGGGCAGGATGGAGGAGCAGTGGAGCCTGTAAAGGCCCTGTCCCTCATCCTGAGTCCTACCTGCACTGCACACAAAGAGGAGGCTGACTCAGACCCACTCTCAGCTACCAGTATTCAGGCTGGCATTGGGCAAGTCCCCTCCTGTCCCTGGACCTTCCACCCTTACTAGTGAGCATAGCAGACCAGATGATCTCTCAGTCCTTTCTAGATCAAATTCTAGATTAAGCAAAGGACTGGGAGGTGGTACAGTCAACTGAAGAAAACTCCTGGCCGCATTTCTCCTCAGGCAGCTCTCAGCAGTCCAAGAAGGAGGTCCCAGGCTAGGGGGCGCTCTCATCAGTTGGCCAGAGGACAGGCATCTGGTTCCCTGAGGCCTCCTGCTGGCTGGCCAGGGCCGGCTGCCGTGCCTCATCCCTTCCACAGCTGCACTTCCCCTTCAAAGTACACATTCTGGAATCCCCCTTGCAGGGCCCTGGTGATAGGGCCTCCCACTGACCTCCCCTCATCAACTCCTGACTTCTGATGAGAAGGGGGCATGAGGGGGCCTCACCCCCCTCCCCAGGAAATGTCACAGTGCCAGGACTCTGGTGGGTCCAGGGCATGCTCTGGCCGGGATCAAGCCAGCCTCCTTTTGCCCCTGCCCTTTTCTGCTCACAGCCCCATTGTCTCCCTGGAGGGGAAGCTGCCAAGGCTGAGGCCTGGAGAGGGGAATGAGGGCTACCCCACCCCCATCCCACCCCACCCTGAAGCTTGATGAGAGCCAGCAGAAAGGGTCAGGGGCCCCAGATAAAGACAGGATGGCCTAGTGGCCAGGACCAGTCTGGGTGCACTTCGGGTGGGGGCTAAAAAACCCGAATGTCAGGAAGAGATCTGGTTCCTTCCCTGCCTTCCTGTGGGGTCAGCAGTGAGGCTGTCCTCGGTCTTTGGCTCCTGCTTCTTTTCCATAAGGAGGGGAAAAAGGGAAAGATGGGATGGGGGAGGAGAAAGACTGGGTGGTGTTTTTCTTAGTGGAACAAGGGGAGGGTTAGTTTCTTTCATAGACAATATAGAACAGAAAGAGGAAAGAGGAAGAGAGAAGAAAGGAGGTTAATTTGGCTCTTCTATGAGAGTGAGCCATTTTCTATATCCACTGATTGAAGGTATAAATAAAGATGGATGGGACATTGTGAAGAACTTCTAGGAGGAGGGTGGGAGGGGAGCAGGGAACAGAAGAGGGGTTAGCTAGTAACCAGAGAGCCAGAGCCTCTTTCCTGACTTACTCTCAGGACAGGGACTAGACTGGGGGCTGAGGGTGCAGAACATAGGCTGGATGGCCTGGAGGCAGGGGCTAGACAAGATGACCTCAAGAGGGCCTGGCCAATGTCCTGGAATCTGGGATTCTGTGATTCACTAAGATATGGTTACATTGGAGACAGACACACAGAGGCCTGTGGCGTTTAGAAAGCATGCATTGCTACATAGCAAGACCCTGTCTCAAAACTAAACAAAAAAAATTAAAAATAGAACTCTTGCATTGCATTGGGAGGACGTGGAGGGGAAAGAGAGGTGGAAGAGAAACTTCTATGGAATCAAGAGTCTGGATCCTGAGCTGATTCCAGGGCCTGGGTCACTGTCCTCCAGGACTCTCTTTTAGTGACCTAGAAAGTCAAGACACTCAGAGGGCTGCTCAGTTCTCAGCCTGGTTGTGACTAGCTTATTGAAAGGCTGTAGGTCAACCATTTTTCTGGCCACCCATGGTGCTCTGGCCTGGCTGTCATCCTCTGAGAAGCAAGGAGGAGAGGGCCAGCAAAGCAGGCCCTAGACATTGGGCCTGGAAGCTCCTAGTTCAAGTGTAATAGGGTGGTAAGTTTCAAGAGCCTCAGACTAATAACCAAACAAAATTCCACTGATCAGCCTGTGAAGACTCTATCATAGGACAGGAGTGTAAGCAGAATCAAGGACCATGTGAAAGCTAGTCTGGGCTCAGACTACAGGAATGAAGTGTCAGAAATAGACAGAGGAGAGGGGCCAAGGCAGGTGGGAGGAACAGGTTCTCTCTGAGACAAGTCTGAGAGAAGCATTCGCTGGCCACCTTATCACCCAGCCTCTCACTCTTCACTCAGCTTCCCCTGCAGCTGTGGCCATGAAGGCTCCTGTGTTCTCCCACACCTGCCCTCCTCACCTCCTCCCCCACTCCCTGCTTCCCAGCTTCAGGGTCAGTCTCCAAGGGAGCAGGCCCCTCTCCCGTTGGCTTGGATCCCACCCAGCAGTTCTTTCTGAACAAAGGAGCCCCCACAGATCTACAAACCCCGGAAAGGTGAATCAACCCATTCAACAAACACTCCATAAACCTATGTTCAGCACCCACACTACCCTGGGCCTCTGGGACCCTCAAGACAAAGGTTCTGCCTTTTAAGAGCAGGGAAAAGAAACCACAGGGGAGACAGTTGTCAGTAAAATGCAATAACTGCACAGCTGCCCAATGCTCAGAGCATGGTGGGAACACGAAGATAGCACAGAGAGGCCAAAGTGGTAGCTTTGTGGAGGAAGTGGTATTTTAATTGTAAGAAAAGAACAATTTAGACCAATGGAAAGGGAAGGAAGAGAAGGCCCTTCTTCTATACATGAGAAAGGGCAAAATTAACAACAGTGTGTTAGAGGAACCACAAAAAGAACATTGACCAAGTTTTGCTTATGGCTGTAGATTTTTCCAATGTAAACGAATGCCCCTTTTGGCCCACTTGGGGGCCTATCAGTGGAGAAGTTGGTTTGTGAAGAGCACCTCCCAAGGTGGGGTCATGGTATAGATCTTCCCACCTAACTGTCCAGACAAGCCTGCCAGCTAGGGAAATTGTTCTTTTAAAACTGAGACCTTGTGGGGCAGGAAAGGGATGACTCGCCTAAGACCATTTTTAATGGTTGAGATTAGATCTGTGTGTCGAAACCAAGATCTAAGAATGCATGTTCTCTAAACCGAGACCTGGGTCTCGTGTTTGCTCTCTCACTGACACCCAGGAGGATGTCTCTCCCGCATCGTAGAATAGCGGCCAGCAGCTTCCTGTGTGGGCACACTTCTCTATCTCCCTCAGAGAGGGATGGGCCTGCCCCACCCCTGGGTCCAAACCCCGGGAGGCGGGTGAGAGAGGACTGGAGGGTAGGAATTCAGCCAATGACGCGGTGATATGCAAATAAGTAAGTCCCTGATTTCTTAGGATTGGTTGAACTATCAGCGTTATTGCCCAAATCCCTCCTCTCTGAACACCGAGCTATTCCCGGCGGGTGTTTGCGGCTCTGAAAACTAAGAAGGAAAACGTCTTCAGGATTTGGAACTGAGTTATCCCGCGGGGCCCCCACTTTCCCCTCCTTGTCCTACCCCTCAAGGCTCAAAGCTCCCGCAACCTTGGCTAGGTGTCTGTCCTAGCTAGAGTCAAGCCCAGAGATCGGGTCTGAAAGTCTTCTCAGACCCCATCCCTGGGCCAGCCAGGCCCCTATTCGCTTCACAGGATGCTCCAGGGTTCCCACAGCTTCTAGGCTGCACATTTTTTAAAAAGTTGTTATTTCCCATGTCTGGGAGGGTCGACCACCAGGATCTCCTTCCAGTCTGTCTTCCTTGGAAGGGAAGAAGAGGAGAAAAATCGATGTCCTGACTCAGTTTCCCTCTTTACATTTCGTTTTTGGCCACTACGGCCCACGCTGGAAGAGCCACGAGAGAGACTGTGGGGTGTTAGGGAAAGGGGCCGGGAAGAGGCCGCTGTTGGACCTTCTCTGACCCAGAGCTTCCCACCTTGATCCTCTTTTCCCCAAATTCAGCCCAGTGCCCTCCTCGCTCTCCCCAACCCCGAGTGTCTCGCTACTGATCTCCTGACTCCCTAGTAGCTCTTTCCTACCAACCATGCCAATTCCTTGATGATGTGAATTGAGTACATTTCTGGGGGGAGAAGGGGCACAGGAGGCGGAAACACAAAAGAAATGTGTCTGGGGGTAAGCAAGGTCCAAGTGGCACTTCAGAAGAAGGAAACCCTGTGCACTGTCGCGAGGGTCCGTGTGCAACCTCCGGGCTGCTGGGATCCCGGAGCAGGTAGAGTCAGGAGGCAGCAGGAGAGTGGTGCGGAGTCCCATCACCCTTTCGGGGTCCCCACCCTCTGGCACTTGGAGCCTCGCTGGGGACAGCCCTACTCAGCACTCACCACCACAGGCCTCCGACGTGCGCCGGACACAGGAGCAGCAGCAGCAGCAGCCCGAGGCGGGAGGGCACCGGCGGCAGCATCGCGAGCGCTCTACCGCGGTGTGGCGCGGCCCGCGGGCTGGGGCTGCGGGCTGAGCCCGGGTGCCGCGACCCGGCTTCAGGATGAGCGCTGCGGAGGCGGCCGGGAGGGAAGGACTCCGGCGGCCGCGGGAGGGCCCATCCCGGGCGAGGAGGGCGCGGCGGAGGCGGAGAGCGGACCCGGTCGCTGGAGCCTGTGTCTCCAACAGAGCT